TTCAAAGTGTATTTGTATAATCAATGAAAATTATATAAAGGAATATTATATAATTTAATATTATTAAGATGTTATAATAATGAAATATGCAAGAGAGTTAGGCACAGTGAGACAAAGAGAATAAATAGGAGACTTACCTGTGTCGTGGGCTCGCCCAGGAAACTCCAGTAGAGTGGATCTTCCGAAGAGAGAGAGATCCTTACCCACTGGTAGTCAGCTCTTAAATGGGTCTAGGAGAGGTGGAGCCAGGCTCCACCCCTTCCTGCAGCACAGGTGAATTGCTTTCACCTGTGCTCCCAGGGCTGACTCATTGCTCGCTTCAGGTGACTAATCAGAGGTTCAGGCCGTGACTCAGCAGTTCCCATACAGTATTCAAAATCAGTCTCAGGGCAATGACCAATCCTAGTGGCATGCAGATCTTAATTATTATTATTCCAAAGAGAAAACCAACCAACCAACCAACCAAATACATACTCCTTTTATTAGGCCAAAAAAATTTCAGTCTAATACAGTGATGAATTCTGAAGCATCATAAACATCTCTGGATTTTCAAGAATGAATGTAGTCTTTTGAGAGGTCTTTGTAGTCTTCTCATAATTATCTCTAAAGGCTGTTTGATTTCTGTGAACTCTACTAAAGTTTCCTATGTAGTGGATAGAGGAATGTGGACACCAAAACTATATATTTTATGAAATGCTTATGTACTTAAAATTAAGTTTTTTAATGCATAGTGCTTCATTACTCTTGTCCTTTGTGTGAACTTAGTCCACAGCACCTAAATACTTGATTTGCATAGATAAAGGTTTATAAATGGAAAAAGCAAATGCACGCATAGAGACACACTTGTAATCATCTCAAAATTGCTCTGTATACATAGAAGTCAGTCTCAGGCAAAGAAAGCGACTGCAGAAAAGAATGAAAACATATGCTCTGAGTGCATCAAGAAAGGCAGACGTAAAGATGCTAAAGGAAGAGAACTCAGTTAAAAAGAAAAAGTGATAGAAAAAAAAAAAAAAAGCCAAAATTGAAAGGGAAGAAAAAGTTTTAATAAGTTGGGCAAACTAGATTGAAAACGTTGTTAATTATGCCTAGCATCATAAATGGCAATTAAAAAAGCAGAAACAGTGGATGCAATATAGTTGTTTTATGTTGTTAGTGTAGCAGAAACTGCAGCACATCATCATCTAGGAACAATTACCAGCTGTTGCCATCAGGGAAATAATCCTTTCTTCACTATTCTACTGTACAAATCCTATGTCCAAAGCAACCAGTCGCAATTAAGAGGGTAAGTGGAAACTAAGAATACATAAGTTCTAATTTTGCAGTCAGAATCCTATCCTTTCTTTTTCTTTCTCTGATAACTTTTTCAGCCATTTCTTTCCTAAAATACCTGTACATCCCATTTATCTTGCTGCTGGGATTAAATCTTATTCTAAAATGCTTTAGATTAGTTTAGTATACATGAGAAATTTAAACAAAATAGATAATTATCTTTTGAAAATTGGTGAAAACTGTATTTTCTACTAGTTTTAGACATAAAAGTCTTTTTGAGGACTATTATCTACGATGGTATTTTAACCTGTTACTCAGCAAGATATAGAATATCTAAACAACGTAGGGCAGGAAGTCACTGATATAATCAGGTCCATTATTACCTTGATGATTTCACACTAAATGCAATTAAGAGGAGACATGTTTACAGTGTTTCTCTTTTGTTGCTATTGTTAGTTTAATAATTTCATCTTTGATAGGCATGTTTACTCATACAGACTGTCTGTCTCCATCCTACTGAATAGGAAACTGACATTCAGACACAGATCCAGCCTTCTGCATTTTGATTTAATGGAGACAACCTAATACAGACAAACAGAAGGCTGCCAGCAGACATTTCAGATCAATTTCTGATATCGCATGGTATTATCTTAAAGAAAACACATCTGCACCCCTTTATAAAATTTACCTTTCTGCAAGCAGTGTTTATGTTTATGTATGTTTACATGTGCATATGTATATCCATGTAGATATATTTGTGGCTAGACAGAGAGTGGCTGTAAGCAAGTTGATTACGTTGAGGGGGCTGCGAAGATTTAAACAAATGCTTATATGAGATTCAGTGCTGAATGATGGAAACTTTCCCAACATAATCACTCACAAAAATAAAGACTGCTGTTGAACTAAGACATACATGTGTGTATTATTACTTTTTAATAAGTAAAGGAAACATTGGCCAGAAATCATATCTGATTCTTGTTTGCATTTCATTCAAATGAGATGTTAAAAACTTTCATGGGAAGTAACGCATATAAAAAAAATATCAGCTACAGCACATAATAGAAAATAATAGAAGAGAAACACATATGTACATATTGGTAAAGAAGAAAAAAAAAAAAAAAAGTGCATTGGATTGGACATTATGGAAAGAAAATTATTTGAAATAAAGAATAAGCCCAGGAGACAGAAGAAATAGGTCAACTACCTGGGGACCTGAAAGTACAACAAAACTCATCTAGAAATTAAACTCTGAATCTGAGACCGGTGAGAATCAGCACGTTTCTTAAAAGAAACAATTTAGAGTATTCTGTTTGCTCTGAGAGGAATGAGGCAGGCAGACAGGGATTTTCAGAGCACAGCTATGGGCTTGAGCAGTGGTGTAAAGCTGGCTATATTGCCTTTGATACACCTCCTTTCTGCAGCAGAATTTCTCAACCGATAACAGACCGTTCACCTGAAAAACTTGCAATATATTCCTGTTCCTATCACAGATTTCCTCTAGGACTGTGCACAGTCTGGTATGTGTAAATGCTGGAAAATGGGAGCATTTCACAGCAGCTGGGTTCAGAAGCATTCCGAATGGCAAAGTGGGATAGTTTGTACAAGTTGTCTCTGTGACTGTATCCCTTGGCCTGGCTTTTGAGAAGGAAACAAAGTATGTAGCCCAGCAGACGCCCAGGATCAGCAATGACAGCTGGGAAACCTGACTTGTTGGCTCCACTGTATTGCCTCAAGGCCACAGTTTGGTGCACACTTTTGGGATAATTCTCAGCCCTGAGGCAATCTGAGTCACTTCCTCTTCATGGTGAATTGTTTGCATTGCAGTGACCTGAAGACAATATAAATGGGATTGGTGAAGTTGTCTGATAGAAAAACACTCATTTTCTCTAATCTGTTTTAAAATCAGTGCACGTCCGTGACCAACTGCACAAAGGAATGTGCCAGCTTAGCTGGACGTGGGGCTTATGGGCCAGAATTGGAAAAAGAGCAAAGCTAGGAGAGCTTAACCTATCTGAAAAACCCGTTACCACAAAAAACTCAAGTACATCTCCAGAGCTTATTATATGCAGGCATAGCACTGATATAGTTTTTAGATTTTACTCTGTAGGTAAAATTTCACTTTAATAAGTAGGAAATAGAGGAGAAATGCAGATAATAAACCACAACAAAATAGGACAGATTGTTTGTTCCATGAGTTGTGATTTCCTTTTTAACACATCTATTTTGTTTGATATTTTCACAATCCCTACATAGAATATACATTCTATGAATATTTTAAATGTAAGTATGAAGCAAAGAATGGACTAAGACCTACACAGACCTACAAACACAATGACCATCCACTGCAACCATCGGGCTAAGGCCAAAACGCAGACGGAGAGACTACAAACTTTCTGGGCAAATGGGTGCAGTCAGGTGGAACTTCTGAGGAGTGACAGTGTTGTCCAGACCTTTAGTCATTGGAAACTCTGGAATCTGGAAGTCCCTCAAGGGCCTGAATGAAAAGGGGGTTATCATGGGAGCAGGGCCCTCCCTGCTTACTGTACTTCTTGAGCAGACGACCAGGATGAAATTACCATGCTGAGAGGCATCTGGGAATCAGAGAGGGAGACAGACTGGAGGAAGCCTGAACCAACCATCCCTGGAGGCACTCAAGACCAGGCTGGATGTGGCTCTGGGCAGCCTGGTCTGGTGGTTGGCGACCCTGCACATAGTAGGGGGGTTGAAACTAAATGATCATTATGCTCCTTTCCAACCCAGGCTATTCTATGATTCTATGAACACACGCTGACTGAAAGCCTCATCCTAAGCCTCTGAGGGGGAAGATGCTAAGCCAGCCTCCCACCTTAAGGAAGAAAGTCACAATAACTAGCAAGGGGAAGGGCGATGGACCCTCACCTCTGCTTCTTGGGCCCTTCATTGTGAATGATCTATATACAAGACTGTTTAGCATACAACTATAAACATTGGTGTGCTATCAACATTGTTTTTCTTTTAGAAACAAAGGATGGCCTCATAACGGGCACTCTGAAGAAAACAATTCCATCCCAGCTGAAACTAAGACAACAGGCCTTTGAGAGTCTGGGTGTATGTTTGGCATCAGATGGAATGCAACTGAGCAGTTGGGGCAAAAGCGCACTGGGAAGCAAGCTGGCTGGATCGATTACCAGGACTCTAGACAAGATTTGAAGGGGGAAGGAGTTGGAATTTTTTGTGACAGAGAAGGGTTGGGGAACACTGTCTCTTTGGGAAACAGGGCAAAAAAAAAATCTGAATAGTCCCAAGACAGCTGGCAAGGACTCCTCAGAGAAGGTAACATTGCCAGTAATCTGGCTGAAACACTTCTGTGCCAATGCGTGCAGCCTGGATTATAAACGGGAAGAGCTAGAAGCCATGGAGTACTTAGAAAAATATAACCTAAATGAGATTACAGAGAGTTGGTGGGATGATTTCCATGACTTCTCTGCCTATATCTTCTGAAAATTTTGTAGCACCCAATCATCTTGATCCAGTCATGGAAATGGAGCAAGACAATGGGCGTCTACAAAATTTTCAGAAGACATAGGCAGAGAAGAAGGGTCTGTCACTGAGAATCAGGGATTGGACCAATAAAATGCAACAGGTTTTTGGGATCTACTACAGGAGAACTGAGTGGGAGGAACCCGTAGACAAAGCCTTCTTGCTTCATCTGCGGCAACTGTCATGTTTGCAGGCTTTCATCTTGGTGAGGGATTTCAACCACCTGGACATCTGCTGGGAAATCAGCAAAACAGGCTGCAAGCAATTCCGAAGATGCCTAGAGCACATAGAGGAGAGCTTCCTGGTCCAGGTATTAGACAAACCAATCAGAGAAGAGTTTCTGGACCTGGTGCTCAGCAACACAGAGTAGATCATTAAAGACGTGAAGACTGGAGGCACCCAGGGCTGTAGCGACCATGCCTTGGTGGAGAATCATAGAATGGCCGGGGTTGAAAAGGACCACAATGATCATCTAGTTTCAACCTCCTGCTATGTGCAAGGTCATCAACCACCAGACCAGGCTGCCCAGAGCCACATCCAGCCTGGCCTTGAATGCCTCTAGGGCTGAGGCATCCACAACCTCCTTGGGCAACCTGCTCCAGTGCCTCACCACACTTTGAGTGAAAAACTTCCTCCTAATATCTAACCTAAACCCATCCTGTCTTTGTATAAAACCATTCCATCTTGTCTTATCACTATCCATCCCCATGAACAGTTGTACCCTCTCCTGTTTATGCACTCCCTTCAAATATATGAAGACTCCAGTGAAGTCTCTCCATAGCCTTCTCTTCTCCAAGCTAAACTAGCTCAGTTCTCTCAACCTTTCTTCGTAGGAGAGGTGGTCCAGCCCTCTGATCATCTTAGTGGCCCTCATCTGGACCCACTCCACCCTGCGCTTCGCCTTGTTGAACCTCATTAGGTTCTTGTGGGCACACTTCTCCAGCCTGTCCAGGTCCCTCTGAATGGCTTCTCTTCCTTCCAATGTATTGACTGCACCACTCAGCTTGGTGTCATCTGCAAACTTGCTGAGGATGCACTCGATGCCATTGTCTATGTTGTTGATGAAGATGTTGAAGAGCACTGGTTCCAAGACCAACCCCTGAGGGACACCAAGGCATTTATATAGACTAGAAGGTGGAGTCCTTGAGAGTAGCCCTGCAAAGAAGGAGCTGGGGGTCCTGATTGATGAAAAACTTAACATGAGCCAGCAGTGTGCTCTTGCAGCTCGGAAAGCAAATGGCATCCTGGGCTCCATCAAAAGAGGGGGGGGGGCAAGCAAGGAATGGGAAGTGATTGTCCCCCTCTATACTGCTCTTGTGAGGGCTTTTCTGGAGTACTGTGTCCAGGTCTGGGGTCCCCAGTCCAAGAAAGACAGAGAGCTGCTAGAGAGGGTCCAGAGAAGAGCCACAAAGATCTTATTTTATATTGGCCTGTGATTTCAGAGGTGGGTGGTAGTGATTCTACAGTAGACATTAATCCCACCCCTGCTCTTTTGCACAAGGGTGGTGCATGGCAGATGGCAATACAGCAGCAGTCTGATCAAATGGCATCAGATATAAGTGCACATGAAATGAAGGAATTTAAATTACTTGGAACAGGACAGAGCCTTGTACCTTCTTGAACACTGCAACAGCAATCTGTTACTCTACTCATTCACGTACAGGCTCATACAAGCAATTGCTCAATTGCTCTCAGTGCATTTTATACAGCTTGGAATAAATAACTTGCTTTAGTTGATTACTGTTTTTAGCAACTTCCAGAACACTATGGAAGTAAAATGAAATTTAAGAACTAGAAGAGCACACATATGAAATACAGATAGATAGCAAAGTTTGATTCTGAAAAAGAAATTAACATCTTTTGCAGGCTAAAACTTTTTTATGATATATAGCAGTAACTGAACACCAGTGCCTCAGGTGATTTAGATCAATCAGGAGCATTGAAGTAACATTGTAGAATATTCATATTTACAAATGCATTATTAAAAAAGTGTTAATGAAAGTAATTTTTTCTACAATATTAACATTATGAATCACTACTGGTCTTACAGTATTTATCAACAGCTAGAAATAAGTTAGAATTTGGAGTTCTACAGCCCTATATTAAACAAAGGCCTTTCCTAGAGCTTTTTTTCTAAAAAAAAAACAACAACAAAAAAACCACACACACACACACACACCCTGTGCTTCTCATAGCATAAGAATGTAAGAAGGGGTCACATGCTTTCAGCTAATGAAATGATTTTAAAAAGCTAAGGAAGCTATGAACTTGTATTTCCATCCTGCTAGAAATTTATGTAATAAAGGTTGATTCAGTGCTCTTACCAGGTAAATCTCAAGAAGTTTGTTACCCCTAGTAAGTCATTCTGCAAGGAAAGAAAAAGTTCTGTTGATAACAAACATTAGCCGCTTAAGGTTACTGTATCTGTTTTCATACTAGTTCCAGTTATGCATTTAGACCTAGAGATAGGTCTTTTTATGGAAGTGGAAAATAGTTTACCTACATTCTATACTTACATTCTTGGAGCAAGAAAAGCAGTTCATTCTGACTCAGTGTTTCATGAATTCAGTTATACCAGCAGATTTATTCAAGAAAACCCTGTACAGTTAACTTTCCCAGCAGATGGCAAGACTGAAGTTGACGGATGCCTCAAGTGCATTTTCCAGATCAGTCTTTCTAAACTGCTGAAAATAACAAAGACTTGTCTCCAAAGGGCTCAGAACCTTCATTTCCCCCAAGATTTTCAGTTAATACCATTAACTAGCATTAACATATTAAAATATTGAACTTGCCTACTAGTATCAAACACATTCAAAATGAATGAGAGTGTAATGAGGACTTCTGTTTTCTCTTCTAGCAAATAGTGTAACCATAATTATTTGGAAACTTATTTTCTAGATGTGTAGTATGAAGTCAGATGAAAAGCTCCAGTAAATAAGCCCAGAGATACATATTCTGTCCATGACTTATCACCTACAAGAGATTCAATGGCACATGTATGAGCATCTTTCCATTACTCTGTTCAAGTCTTTAAAAGACAAAATGACATCTCAAGCTCCTTGGATGTTAAAAAGAGAACATTAACTGCTCTATAGTTGTCAACAAGTTTCTCATTCTACAGCTAAACACCAATGTAAGGCCATACCTTGCAAAGGGTCTCTTGAAGTCTCATAAACTAGATGGCTCTTGTTTAGAAATAGCTTGAGCCCCATTGCAGTTGCGTAACATAAGACTTGAAGAACCTCAATGTTCAGTCCAGACATCCAAGTCCCTTAACTCTTCAATACAGAGACAAAAATGTTGAAAGTAAGTTGTTAAACAGTTTTTTTTGTTTTTTTTTTGCAAATTCTATTCTGTCATTTACTATATTCTAGTTTCACAATGATAACACTCATAAATAATTGTTTTCTTAAAAACAAAAAAACATTGCCAACAACAAAACAGAAAGGAGTCGTATTTTTCCTTCTTATACTGCTAATAGACTTTTTTCCTAAAATTTTAGGAGAAGTGCATCACACAATGTATTTAGCCAGATAGACTAGCATCATTATTGATATAGAAATTATAAACAAACATCTTGCTGACCAATCTACAGTACATTAGCTTGCATAAATTTATAGTACCCTGAACAAACTTCCAGCTATTTGCAACCATTTACCTTTCCAAATAAGGAAATGTCTAAAAAAGAATTCTAATGAATGACTCTAGACAGCAGTTCAACTATATTTAAACTCCAGAATCTGAAAGAAACTTCACTTCAGCTATAATAAACACTTTCAGTTTAGAAGTCTTACGCGTTTATTAACAAAATACTGTACTTCAGGTGAAAGAGACATAAGAACCTATAACTTATAATGCGATGGAAAGTACAGAGATAATAGCAGTGTGGCACAATCCTAGACTGCAGCAAATGAAAATGAAAACAAGCCCAAATGCAACAGTCATGGACACAGAAACAAAAGAGAAACTGCAGGGAACTCCAGCAAGATACGCTCTCCTCCATTGCCAACTCTTAAATGAGGTCTGGGAAGGGGTGAATCCTGGCTCCACTTCTTCCAGTCACTCAGGTACATTGCATGCACCTGAGCTTCCTTGGGTTGACCCTGCCTTCCCACCAGGTGCTCAATCACTGGTTCAGGCCATGACTTTGCATTTTCTTTACAGAACCCTTAGAGATTTTAAATGACACAAGATTGTAAGTAATGTGACAATACAGGATATAATCTCTAATAAAGCATTATTATAAACATAAAGAAATATACGGACTGAGAAGAAATATGTTTTCACTTCTATGCTTTGATTTGCTTCTTTGATTAGTGCAAACAAAGGAAGAAGACGACAGGTATTCTGATAAAGTTCAGCTTTCTTTGGTATGAGGCAGCTGTTCATATAACCTGTTAGTACTTCATAAATAAAACTTACTCCTGTGTAGCTCATCTTACTATGATGTGTAACACAACAGCTATTAGAAGTGGTCACCTTACCTTAACAACTTCACATCAATCAGAGTTAATAGATCAACTACATATTAAGCTTATATAATGGGAGGCTTGCATTAAATCTTTTCAACACTTTCACTTAAAATACAGATACGCTGGCACCTTTGTTCACGTTAACTGTATCTTGACTTGTAAACCACATGTAAAATGAGGTAAAAATTAACTCCGCTTATGTTTTTCGGCTCCCACTGTTGCAGCCACCAGGGCGTCCCCAGCATTAAACATCTATTCATTTGACTTTTGTAAGGATCCAGCTCCTATAGGGGATGCGAACTGTAAACAAATTCACAGAACAATCAACCACTTATTTACAAATGTGAAGATATTAAAAGCCTTAATATGTTATAGTGACATAAAATCTATACAGTGAAGAGCAAAAGGAGCATGTGCCAGCTGGAATAACAGTCCAGTGGTAACACAGAGCAGAATATAATGGGGAGCTGCAAACAGAGACTAGGAGTGTCAAGGAGGCCGTATATCTCTACAGAAAGAAACATCACTACTGGCAAGCAGCTACCTGCTGACCAAAGCACTGTTTTTGACTTGTTGGGGGAAAGAATACTCTGTGCTTTAAACCAGCAGTATGCAAAAAGACTGTGGTACAGGGCCTCTGAGGTAAAAATGATTTGGGAAAAAAACAAAAAACAAAGGTTCAAGTAGAATGACTGCTACATTTCTAATTAAATATATAGTTCAATGTGGGCGAAGGAAGAATTTTTAGAATATTTGTATATTCATATTGACCCTTAGAATTGAAGTAGTTTTCTTTTAGGTGGTGTGGCATGTGATCTGTACTGCAGAGCTTTTGAAGGGGATATAACACAATAAGAACTGATAGCTGTCACCATCCTTTCTTCTGCCTTTTCTAATTTCACCCACCAATGGAACAAGCGGGGCTTTATTCATAAAACAAGGCCGCAGGAAGCATTTTCACAGTTTAATCTTGTGTAACATTTTAAGAAGCGAGATCACCCTTTAGCCCTGTTCTGTCTCTGTTATATTTTACCTCAGAAATAGCAGCTGCAGAATGTCTGGAAAGGAATTTAAGTTTAGCAGTTGTTCTTTGTTTCACAAAGTACAACAAACCTATGCAGGCTGAGAAACAACTGTCGTGGCATGAGTACATAAAATCCATTGCTTGTTTTCATTAATCTATAGGTGTTTTTTTCACAGAAGCAAATATAGCAGCATTCACATCCTTAACGTACATAAATACTGAACAGTATAAAAATCACATTCCATTTGAAACACTGAAATCATATTTTCAGTCCCTTCTAAAGCAGAACAGGCTGTTCAAGGCATTTTAGTGGAATGTTCTTCAGATGAAGACTGTGACTCTTGCACTTAATAACGGTGATGCCAAGGACATTTTTGTCTTCCCATAATTACTTAAGTATTTCATAACTTCACAAGTACCATTTGGTAATTATCTGTACCTGCAGAGGTAACATTTACATGGCTCATATTTTCTCTTCCTCTAAAAGTGCCTGACATAAACTTAAAAAAAAAAAACAAAAACAAAAACAAAAAAACAAAACTCTGACCAAAACATTACCCCTGTTTCTCTGGAAGCAGAAAGGTTCCTGTACCCAAAGGAAAGCATTTTCCAGGAGTCTGAGATTCAAGTTGCCTACAGGGGCTCCAGCCTTATTTCCACTTCAAAGCAGATGTGGAAATCTTTCTCAGACCTTTCTCAGAGCTGCGAAAACAATATTTTACTCAAATGACCCTTACCTGAGCTCAGGTAAAAGAGTTGTATGGAAGAGTCAGCAGAAAAGACTGTACTAACCTTTTCACCTACAGTCTGATATTGAGGAACAGTGATGATTTCTCCTTCTAGTATCACCCTATTATTCTTTCCATTTGTTTCTTGCTCTTTTCTAGAGATCTGAACTGTGGAAAAGTAGGTAAATAGAACTAACAGAACATGGTTTTATTCTGGACAAAAATTACCCATGCTAATTGCACCATAATAATTATTGTTGGGAAAACAAATGTGTAGATTGCCAGGGGTATAGAATCATAGAGTCATTTAAGTTGGAAGGAACCTTTGAAGGTCATCTAGTTCAGCTCCCCTGCAATGAACAGGGATACCTATAGCTAGATTATGTTGCTCAGAGCCTCGTCCAGCCTGACCTTGAAAGTGTCCAGGCTCGGGGCATCTACCACCTTCCTGTCCAACTTGTGCTAGTGCCTCACCACTCTTATTGTGAAATACCTTTTCCTTATATCCAGTCTGAATCTTCCCTCTGTTAGTTTGAAACCATTTCCCCTTATCCATCCACAAAAGACCCTCCACTAAGGAGTCTGTCCCTTTCTATTTCACTACTCCACTTTAGATGCTGAAATGTCACTATCAGACCACCTCTGAGCCTTCTCTTCTCCAGCCTTAATAGGCCCAGCTCTTTCAGCCCATCCTCATCCTATGAGAGGTGCTCAGATCCCTTGGATTGTTTCTGTGGCCCTCCTCTGGAGGCACTTCAAGAGTGCATCCTCTGAATGCATCTCCCATACTTACAACTGCCTCTGGACACACAACTCCAAGTGAGGCCTCACTAGCACAAAGCGGAGGGTTGGGATCACCTTCCTTGATCTGCTGGCCATGCTTATTCCAATGCGGCCCAGGATACAGTTGCCTTTCTGGTCTGTGAAGGCGCACTGCTGGCTCACATCCAGCTTGCCATGCAGAGGTACCTGCAAAGCCTTTTCTATGGGGCTGTGCTCAATCCTTTTTTTTCCCCCCCCCAGCATGCAACGATAGCGAGGGTTGACACGACCATGGTGCAAAATCTCGTGCTTGACTTTGTTGAACCTCATGAGGCTCACTGGGTCCCACTGCTCAAGCCCATTTATGCTCTGAGATACAGTAGCTGGTCTACTCACCTTTAAAGAGGTTTTCAATAAATACAAAATTTCAGTTTGTGCTCTTCCTAAGACCACTTAAATTACAGGCAAGAAGAAAAGGCATCTCAAAACCCCAGTGCTATTATCTGCTGTGCAACACAAGAACGTCTTCAGCTGAATCTCCAGGGAATTATGTCAAGTCAGTTGCTTAAGATAGGATATATTCCCTTAAGCATAGCAAAGAGTGATTTAGAAAAATGATATAATCCTTTTAGATCTCTTCTTCGTCCCTTTCCTGTGAACTGTCTGGCATGCAAGACTCATGAGTAACAAG